TTCTCTAGTTAAATTAATTTCGATCGATGACAGAATGGTTTGGCTCGTCTCCATACTGATCCATCCCTCTTAACTTGCTCACTCAGTCTTTAGTCTTTTAGCCCACAGTCCAGGACAAGCAAATCATGAAGCCTGTGAGTCATGTAGCAGGTGCCACAGCCACAGGTCTGCACTCTTTGTCTTCTTTTAACCTGTGTTTGATTCGGCTCCCTTCAGCAGTACATGTTCCTCATTCTACCAAATCAATAGATTATAGGTTTTGGTAAAATGCAGTAATTACTTACAGTGGTGTATTGTTGCCCGTGTTTCTACTGGGAAGTTCCCAGTGGCCAGCAGTCAAGCTGTGGCAGCATTATCAGCTAGGTGCCAAGCTCTGTTATTAGTGCAGCCTTACGCTGAGCCAAGACTTTAGACTGCTTCTCTCTCTCTCTCTCTCGGTCTGATTTTGAATTCCTTATTTTTTAGGCCTTTAATGGATGAGGGACAAAGTGCTGCCTGTATCAATTTAGTCTGTTTTTGAGCAGCATGTTTAACATGTTAATGGGCTCTTCTCTCTCTGATTATGGCTGGCCTGAAAAGCGGCGTCTGTTCTGTCTAGCAAGCGTGTGTGTGCGTGCTATTCAAAAAAGATAACAGTGTGCATGCATGTGTGCAGTGTGTGTGCAGTGTGTGTGTGTGTGTGTGCACTTTCTCTAAATCTCTGCAGAGCGCAGAGAAATGACAGCGTTAAAAAAAAAAAGGAGAGCGATGGGAGAAATACAAAGATAAGAAAAGGGAGCGAGAGTAAAAGAGAGAGAATCCCCTGCTGTTTTTCCAATCAGGAGGCGTCGTCCTCCTCACTTGGTGATTTATTCTCTCTCCCCTCTTCTTCATGTCCCAATTTCCAACCTCCCCTCCACCCCACACCACCCCACCCTTCCATTCATTCTTTCTCCCTGTCTTTCTTTCTGCGGGCAGCCCGTGAACATAGCTGTTTAGAAATGACGACAGAAGCACGTTCGAGGCGGGCCGCGCTGTTAACATGACTCACCTGTAAGGCTGTGAGATTTTCATATGAAGTCTTCCTTCTACTTCACTTCTTTTCTTTTTTTGTCTTCTGAAATCATACTGGACCAAATATTGCTGCTGCAGACCATCAGACGTCAAGGATCTTTTATTTTAAAAGCAGCATTAAATGATGTATGACCTTACTGACCGACATTAATAAGTGTCTGGCACCGCTCCTTGCACGCCCCGGCAAAGATCACCCTACTTAACAAATGAATAATGAATACAGGGTGCAGGTCAAGACTACATATATATATTATTAAGCTGGTGTTTTGCAAGAATCACAAATAGTCAGCTCTGTGGAGATGCTCTTTATTTAAAAGGAAGGCATCTGATTTGCTGCGCTGTGTTTGTGTGCTGAAGGGGTGTCACTGAGATTGCCAATAAATAGAGCATTCATTCATTATAATCTGCCTTGTTTTGTCACCAGCCAATCATGTAGTCACATTTCACATCCCAGCAAGCCCTCCTGCATCTCCCTCCATTCATCCCCTAGAGCCACAAGTGTGTGTTTTGCATTGGCGGCATCTCCCCGCCGTACCTTTAAAACCATATCACGTTAAATGTCTTCCTATGTTAGCGTGAGTGGATGTTGCAGAGCACCAAATGCATCATATTGTTACTGTGTTAAATTACCAATGCAAGTGTTTCTCTCTCGCTAGTGCAGCCCTCCCCTCAGACACACACAGACATACACCCACCCACCCGCTGACCCCTCCCTCTCAGCGCTGGTTGGTTGCCACGGCTACCGTGTCGCCACTCTTCCTCATGTTGCTATGAGACTCGGACCGACAGACCTGAGCTGAATGACAATGTGTCTGTGGCTCTGGCAAAAGGCCCACAACAACCAATAAGAGACAGTCTAGACAAACACTTCCTAATCTGGGGTCTGGGGACCTCCGGGGTGATTGTTTGGGTTTGCAGGAGCCTTTGCAGCCAAACGAGGTGCAGTTTATTAACGCTTTAGTATTATTTTTATTAAATTATTACTCCAGCACCGTTTTGTAAATTATTGCGTGATTGATATCTGTGCTTGATTAAGACAGGAGTGCTCTTGTTGAACAAGGAGGAATCAAAATGAATGCTTGGATTAAAATTTTACAGTAAAACAGAGGTAGTTAGAGCTATCGTCGTCAATATATATCAATATATATTCTATATATATAGACAGTGGGCTGCTGACCATGAAAAAAGCTCCTCACATAATCAGAAGAATTTCACCAAAGCTTTTCAGCCTCCTTTAGCTCACTGTTTTGGTTTTTAGACCCTCAGTCACTCCATTTCCAGCCACACAGACACAAGTCATCTCCCTGTCTCGGTATGTATATTAATATGCAATCTTGGTTTTCTAATCATCTCTCATGCTTTGATATAATGACTGAAAATCACTCTAATTTCCCCACAAGGGCTATCGAAGTTTAATCTTATTCACAGAGTAAAAGGACATAACAGATAAAGTGAATACCGTTTTGGGAGCTTCTTCTTTGCTTCTTCCGCATTTGAACCTCAGAACTATAGAAACTCCCAACCATTATTCAATTAACTGATCGGCTTTAAAAAACAGCAGATTAAAGAACAGCCGTTGTATTATTCTATTAATTTATCACGAGAAAATGCAAAATGTTCTCCCATTCCTGTTAACCCTACAGTTTTAATCAAAAATGGACTGATAATGAGATTAATCATTAAATGCAGCCCTAAGGGGAAAGCGCGCGCTCCATAAATGATTTCATGCTGGTTTGGTTTGATATTACTTTTATTTCTACCCCAAACATAGATTTGATTTGCCAAAGGCGAGTCGTTCCACTGTCATATACATATTTTACAAACTACATAATACAACAAAGAAGAAAAGTACTTGTGTTGCTAATCCTCTAATAAAGCAAAAATAAGGGAATGAAGAAATAAATGCAAGAAACATATTGCTTTTATATCAGCTATGATATCAAAATCAGTTCTGTAGTATGTACAGGACATACACAGTGGTTTCTCCCTGACCCACGGTGTACAACTAAAATAAATAAATATAATAAATAAAGTCCAGGTTAAAACAGAGAGCTATGAGATTATGGGTAAAGAAAAAAGAATCAAGAATATGCATTTCACAGGATATATGATCCTTTTAAAGCCTGAGCCAAGAGATAATCGCCTGAAAATTCATATTTTCTGAAAATTGAGTTTTTATTGAGCCTTCTGACAAATTCAAAAAGCTAAATAAATAAATAAATAAATATTAATTTGCATGTATGAGTTTTAATTAATGAGGTTCATAAAAATGTGAGGGTCATAAATGTTATGTTATTATGATAAACATGTTAGAATATCAAGTAAAAGATCCAAGTAGAAATTATACATCACTAAAATTGTTGTATCTGAAGTTGTATATGAAGACATTGTTACCAGTTTTATTTGTTGTGGTGCATTAATTTTGTGATGGCTAAATGTTCAAATACAGTGGGATGAAGACTTTAAAAAGGCAAATCTTTTATGTGTGGCTTTTTTCCTGCCTGGTTTAAATGGGAGTAAAAGAAAATAAACCAAGTAAGCCAAACTATTATTTGAAGGACTGAATTTCAGAGTTGATAACAAATATATAGCACTTTGGTTCAACAAGCAGAGCCTCCTGATATGTCATCTGCAATTATTCTATGAGTCTTTTTAGTGTTTTTGTCATACCTCCGTCCATTCACCCCCAATAGGTAACAGCAGATGGCCCCGCCCCTCCCTGAGCCTGGTTGTGCCGGAGGTTTGTAGCTGTGAAAAAGGGAGTTTTTCCTTCCCACTGTTGCCAAGTGTTTGCTCATAGGGGTCATCTGATGGTTGGGTTTTTCTCTGTATTATTGTACCTTGCAATATAAAGCGTCTTGAGGCGATTGTTGTTGTGATTTGGTGCTATAAAAATAAAACTTAATTGAATTGAGTCTGAAAACCCCCAGAAAAGAGTAACGTTTCATCCCAGCCTGGCTTTTATTCGTACTCGGCAGTGCAAGCGCACACCGGGGAGAGACGATTTTTCTCCCCGTAAGAATAACACCTTGTCTCTAGGCTGAAATATGCTCCGCTGGAGGCGCCCGCATCCATGGAAAAGAGTTTTGACACATAACAGCAGAGCTGATGTGGGTGGGGAGGTGAGATCTTTGGGGCTTTGTGTCACCGGAATCTATCTGCTTTTTCTTTTTATCTGTTTAGTTTGCTGTCGGTGCACATAGCCAGAGCGTCAGGGGAGAACGAGAATGACACGGGTTAGAGCAGTACATCATTCAGGCGGTGCTGTGCTTCTACTCTTTGTCTGCGGCTGGTCAATATCGGGTTTTTCTTTCTTTGGTTGTTCCTTTTTTTCCCTACAGAATCTGTTGCAAGAAAATAACGCCAGATCAAGCATAAGCAATAAGTCGAAAAGGGACAATTTGTGAGGAAGTGAGACTTTACAGATAATAAACTTTATTAAAGTCTCACGCAGACAATAGCAGCAAATATACAGTGCAAAGTAGTATCTATACATAAAGCACACATAATAGAAAACCGTATTAAGCTTGAAATGAGAGAACAAGACAGTTAAACCATAGAAATGCAGGCAGTATAACATTTATTGCAATTTTATTGGAATTTACTGCTCTAAAGTTTTCACATTTGCCCACATTCACAACTATATACACAGAGACATCTCGGTAGACTCTCATTAAAAACTTTTTCTTTTTCCCTTTTAAACCGAAAGCAAATATAACACCACTGTAAATTAAGTTTTCTGTAACAGTGATGCATACATACACTATGTGTGCAGCTATTTCATCAGTTCGTTTATTTTATTCTGATACCATTTCAGTTCAGAATTTGGTTTAATAGTGTAGAAAACATAAATATTTCATGAGTTCAGCACTGCGAAAGAAAACGTGGCTCACAAACTGTGGTAAAGTAATGTGATCGATATTTTCTTATGTCTCTGTCTCTCTCAGGAACTGTTCACGGCGGAGTGCAAGTTTAAGGAGTCGGTGTTCGAGAACTACTATGTTATCTACAGCTCGATGCTCTACAGGCAGAAAGAGTCGGGTCGGGCCTGGTTTCTTGGCCTCAATAAAGAGGGACAGGTCATGAAGGGCAACAGGGTCAAAAAGACCAAACCAGCAGCACATTTCCTGCCTAAACCCATAGAAGGTAACAAACTGGGCTTTTTATTTTCACTTTATATATGTATACATAGACATATATCCTCTGTCTCTCTTCACGCTGTCCTTCTGCTTTTCCTTTGCTCCTCCCCTGCAGTTGCGATGTACCGAGAGCCTTCGTTACACGATGTAGGAGAGGCAGTTCCTAAACTGGTCGGGTGCCCGCCATCCAAAAGCACAACCACTGGACCGGTAGTCATGAATGGCGGCAAACCAGTCAACAAACCTGACAAGGAGGCGACATAACCCCGCTCCCTGTTTTCACCTCGCCTGGCTGACGGGAGGCCAGGAGAAGCCACAAACTCGCCCCCACCCCCACTGCTGCGCTCTCCAAAAAAACAAAAACTGCAACAAAAAAGGTAACAAAACGAACAACAGTGGGACCACACGTCCAGCCTCACCAGGGGGGCCCGTAGAGACCACGCTGCAGTTGACGGCGGGGGGAAAAGGGGAGAAGGAAGACAGTAAAGTCAGGCTGATGTCTGACTGATGTTTCTGAACGAGGACAGTAGCATGTCCTCATCGTATGGCAGAAAGCAGGACTTAAAATCTAAACAAAACAAACAGAAATCTGAAAAAAATGACGTCCTCACCGGTATTTTTCTGTGACAATCTGTAAGAATGAGGCTGTCGTCGTCCCCGCACCCTCTTTTTCCTTTTCTGTTTTTTCCTTTGCCTGGTTCGCTCGCTTGCTGGTGGCCACAGACACACATGCACGCAGCGCAGCCTCCCCACAGAAATCGACCACGCGTTCGGGTTCGATCTTTGAGTAAATAAGGAACAGATTAAAAGCATCAGCAAACATTGGGCGAAGAGAACACCTTAAACCAAACACTGATGATTCAGAGGACGCTTAGTCATCGATCAATTAAGATTTGGCACAGGACATTCTGTACTAAGCACACAGGGACATGTGCTTGGAAATTGCCGAATGCACTAAATACAAGGTAAACGCACCGGTTCACCTGTCCCTACTTTTGATCACATAATAAAGAGAGACTTGTCATTTATGACCACATAGCTTAAAGCATGTTTGACTTCTCAGTATTCTTTTACTATCTGTTTCTCAGTTATTATTCTAAACAAACAAAGCACTAGTGATTTTTGAGCTACACTGCTGTACAGACGTAAATCGGATTTGAGTTTCTACCTCTGTGTCTTACACCCCCACCCCTTTCTGTTGTTTTGGTTCCTTTACAAATGCTATGATTTCCACATCGCTGACATAAGTGCAGCTCAGGAGAGGAGGAGGTCGGCTGATAAATGAAGAGTTTAGGCATCGAGTTGCTCAAATCAGCATGTAGCTGAGTATTGAAAGGAGAACGATTTACACAAATTCCTTGTTTGTAGCAGCACAGACAGTATTGGAGGCATGCTGGTGTCTAAGCAGCATGGTAGCAGTCAGTGTTTACATAGAGTAGCAGATATTCTAGGCTGGTCGGATGGCGCTATAAGCCTGGTAGAACTTTTATTTATTTATTTTTTTCAATTGCCTTCCCATGTACTTGAAAACAAAAGCAGGAATTAGGAATACTGAACAGGGTAACTGATGTTAAAGCCACTGTGTGTAGAACTTGAACATCTCTCGCTTCCGACACACCGGACTACTCCAGTGTGTCGGAACCAAGGCCAGGTCTAGATCAGGAAGTGTTGCCAAAAGCCAGTAAAAAATATGGATGTAGCTTCTGGGTCTGAAAAACGAAGCAAACGCAGAAGTGCCTTAGAAACCTGTACTCTTTTTAATGGCCAGCAGGGGGCAACTCGTCTGGTTGCAAAACGACTTCTGGCTGTATAGAAATCTACGGGAAAACAGGCCCTGGCTTTCTTGGTCTGTGACCCCTGTAAACACTTACCTGATGACTTTATGTGCTTTCAGGTCAGGCTAAATAAAACACCATTTTCCATTTTGTCAATTATGGTCATTTCTAGAGTTAGGATGATTACCCTGGTCAGCTCATTGGCTAACAGCTGGTGATTGCCAAGTCACTAGCCAGTGAGCAACTGATCCAGTAAACAACAGCCAGATCTGCGCCTTGTTGTCACCAAGACGCAGTGACGGTAAAAACATTCAGCTTGAGGCTTTAAAGCAAGACTTTACTGAGCATTGGGGGACGTAACAGTAGCTAAGTCCGTCTTTTATACTGGCTTTGGTATTGCCAAGGGTCTTTTGCATTAGTCGAACATTTAGATTCTTCCGAGAATTTAACAAAAACGCACTGTGAAGTTGGTTCAATGAAAAAAATTGCTAAACACAAATTATAAACAATGATACAAGTGTACTATCAGCTAAGTATACTGCAAGGGTCCGCTTAAGTCCAAGTGACAGACTTCTGCCATCAAAGGGTGAATATGAGGCTCTGCGTTATAATGAACTCGTTCAGGGTTTTCGCAGGTCTTCGTGTCTTTATTATCAGTTTTCATTGTGATTTTAAAAAAATAACCTAAACTGTAGGATTATAACAGTGAGTCAGTAAACAATTATTTAGAGTTATTAAACACATTTTAAAACCTCTCAACTCACACAAACAGAAATTAGGCACAACAAATCAGCCACTTGAGTTTTAGTCATAATAGCATTAGCGGGTCCTCTTCAGTGAGCCAGCTTTAGTTTCATAACAGATTGTGTCTGGTCCAAGTACAAGGACTTCAAGGTTGCAAAAGGTTCAGTCATCATAAAATAAAAATTCTTGTTATCAAAAAAAAAAAATGGCCCTGAAATTCATATTAGTCACTAGTTACCTCTGCCTCAATGTTTAAGTGCCATTGTAGCTGAGTCCAGAAGTTTATTGGTTTTTAAACATCAAGAGCCACAAAATAACTCTGGGCTGTGTGATGAATGGGCTGGGAAAGAAGATGATGTTTGTGAAATGTCGGGCCGACAGTAATTACACGAACGAAGCTAAAACGAGGCACTTATAATTAAAAGTAAGAAAAAACCTCTCAAGTAATTTAGCCTACGATATGTTTTATAAGGCTTATAGTGTAATCTTTGTAATGTAAACTCGTTATCCGAGCGCTAACAGATTCCAAATAAATGTGGTGGAATAAGGAGAAGAAGATTTTTCTCTGAAATGTTTAAAGTGGGCTTGTTAAGGTTATTTCCAGCTTTATTTTTTTTAGCTTTGCATGAAATACTGTTCAAAATAATGCTTATTTGCTGCCCTTTAGTTAATCCAGTGTCTGAAGGCAGTTGTTTTAGCTCCTCCTTTAAGCCAACTTCCTTCTGATTGGCTGCCCCTCGTTTACTGGTTCCAGAGCTGTGCGCCTGAGTTTTTGACTCCTGCGTACACTAACTTATTTATTTGAAGCTCCGACCGTGTTCGATGTGAACATACTCCACTGTAACAGCATTTGAATATAACAGATTATAAGGAAAAGCATGATCGGTTCCCTTTAAGTCTATTAAAATATGCAGCATGTGTTTACCTTCCACCTCTGGTTGCAGATCTGTGTGTCAACGCTGGATGTGTGAAGATCCGAGCAAACTGCCTATCAGCGCTGCATAATCGGGCAGGAGAAATGTTTGTTTTTGGCTGTTACATTTACACACAGTGGCTTTAAATCAGCCTGTGCAATGGCCTTCAGAAATCTGTGTAGTTTACTTAAAGTGTGGGAAAAAAGGTCGTTTCTTTAGAACACAATAAAAAACCCCACCAAACAGCATGCATCAATCCCAGCGTTGAATAAAGCGGTTGTAAAAATCGAAACACTCAAGAACGACAGTACAAGGTAGAAAATCAAAGAGATCAAACCAAATAGATTCCCCCCGCTTCGCCCTCTCACTGTGACTGTCAACATGGCGCCAGTCTGTTCTGGGCCTGAATCCTGTTCAGGCTGCCAGCCTTTCTGTTTACTCGTCTTTCTTGTGACGGCAACACTAGATGCCAATTAACTCCTCGAGAAGTTACACTAAGTAGTTGGTCACATCGCTGAGATCCAACACTTCAAATTAGCGTTCAGTGACAATGAGGCATGCAAATGAATATCTTCTGCGAGGCTCAGGATTGCAGTGCGTCTGCTTTTAATCAATGAAAACAGACACTGTGCATCTCTCTCCCTGTTGCGTTGAGTCCCAGTTTTTTGGGGGGAACAAGCGCTTTGCACGTTAATCACGCGACTGAACCACTGTTCAGCAGCCTGCCGACACGAACCAAGCCCAATACCTACATCAAACGAGCGCTGGCCCCGAATCTACGGCCTCAGCAACAGGTATGTGTCGCCATAGCGGACGAAACACAGAGCTGGTGTAAAAGTCGTCTCGCTGCGTTGTGCAGAAGATCCCCTCTGTGACTGAAGAGACTGTGAAAAACACTAGACAGCTCACAGTGTTTCTAATTTTCAGATTTTTCTTTCCTCACATACGCCACGTTTTTTCTCTCCTTCCCTGATCTCATTAGCTGTTGCCTTCATGTTCCAGTATGTGTGGCTGACCAGCGTTACATAAACATAAATCCAGTCTATGTGGTGATGCAGGTGTAATTTCTCAGCCCTTAAATGCTGTTTTGAAAGAAAAACATTAGTTAAAAAAAAGAAGTCTTATTGAGCCAAATGAAAAAAGAGAGAGATGTTTCTTTGTCATGTCGTGTTTCAAACTGTAATCTTGATACTGAAAATCTGCAAGTACATGTGCAGGTTATGAGGTAAAAAAAACAAAACAAATATATATATAGATATATATATATATCTATATATATATATCTATATATCTATATATCTATATATATATATATATATATATCTAGCTAGCTAAATGAGTGCCTCTCATTCATCTCCAGCTAAGAGAGCTGTGAGCTTGCAGGGCGGCTGTAGATTTGTGTTAAACCCTCAGCCTTCCTGGAATTCGCCAAGGTTTACTGAAGATTTCCCCAAATTCTCAGAGTGGTTTGACTCCAGCTCTGCTCTGCCTGACGTTACTTTGGATATTGTTGATAAGGAAGACGTCTTTGACTGGTGTTGTGCTCGTCTCACATCGAAGAAACGTGGATGTATCGTTTATTGACTACTCGTCGTGTCACACTAGGGGTTAGTAATAAAAAAAAAAAAAAGGTTTAAAAAAAGAATAAAAATAAACCCTGACAATCAGGTCTGTGAACTCCCTTTTTTATTTCTTAATGTGTCCGGTGTTGCCTGTGTCAAAGCAGAACCTTTTTAATGGCGCTATAGAGGACGATGTTTTTGTACTTAACAACCATTAGGAGATACAACTGGTAACAAGGCTCCAGGACAGCAGCTGCTTTTCATTGAATTATTGTCAAGCGACTAATTTGCGCTTCGCTGCTGGCAGAGGGGAAAAAGATCGACTTAGAGAGGGAACCTAACCTTCCTCTATTTAGAGAGCTTGTTAGGTTACCAGCAGGGGTCCCTACCTGTGAAAGCAGCTATTAAAGATCTACGGGACATGCTCAAGAATTAATGATGGCTGAGGCCACCGAAAAATGGCCCGGTTTCCTGGCTACTGACCAAATATAGAGCTTCAATAGTGTTTCCAGGCTGGTAATCACAGCTCCTGGTTCAAACAACGAAGGCACAATTACTGTCAGCTTCTCAGTGAGAGATTCCTCTCCACCGGGTGGGTAGCCGTGTAGCGGGGCTACAGTCACGAAACGTCTAGCAGGCGTCTCAGCACAGGAAGAGAGTATCTGATTTAATTAGAAGCGAGCAATCGCGACAGCCCGGGTCATTTTTAATTTCCACGTACCAGTACCGCTCGTGTTCTTGTGGCAGGTACACATGTAGCCATCTTACTTTGTCCTCTGTGAACTGTAGCTTCTGGAAAAAAACAAAACAAGACGAGACATAGCAGGGCAAAAAAGAAAAAAATGCTTTTGTGACTCGACCACTGCGGTGCAGGTGCACTTTAGAGACACAGGAACATGTAATGGCTAGCACTGTACTCCTGATGTAGCCTGTCTCCCTCAGGTTTCTTTTTTTCTGTTCTACTTTATTCCTCTTACAAAAGACTGCCTTATTACATCTGAATCTGCAACGAGACAGTAAACGCGCTCTCCTCCCAGCTGTTTCTTTCTCTGAACACTCTCATCCCACACACGCAGCAGATAGTCACTCCTCATCCTATTTTACTTTTCAATTATCCTTTGATCCCCAATCTTCTGTTCACTGTAACTATGCTAGCTTTCACTCTCTGCTCGTCTTGTAATCATGCAGCCAGAGAACTTATCCCTCCACAACCACCCCCCCAATTCCTGGTCCTCCTCCACCCTCCCCAGTCTTTCTCACTCTCTCTGTTTGGACAGTTTCTCCACCTGTTGCATGGTTTTCAAAAGAGGAAAGACGATGGGGGCTAATGCATGTGGTTATGTAGGAAATGTGCTCTCGAAACAAAACAAACATTTACAGCATAGCACCGGTGAAGCATTGCCTCTGGCTCATCCCTGCCGTCGGTTAGCACTGGTCATTTATTAAGTATTATAGGATCAGTTTCCAGTGGCATCAGAGACTACTCACAAAGAAATATTGTTTTTTTTTTTTTAAAACACTATCCATCATTGCAATTTCACTAATATTGTTACACTAATGCAAGTCTTAGTCTTAATACTTTAAGCAGGCCATCAATATTTAATTCAATGCCTGAGAGTAAGAAACGTTACAGTTGTGACATGAAAATAAGATTGTTGAATGAGTGCCTTTGCTTTTAATAGTGATGGCAGATTAGAGATTAGGTTGTTTTAGTTAAACTGTTCCCCCTATTCCTAAAACACAGTAATCTTCTGTGACTCGAAAATAGCAAAGCCAGAATTGACTCAGAAGATTTTCTTCCTCACTCAGTGGCTGGATTGTGGTGTGTGAGTATACTCAGAGGCCAGGCTCTAAAAAAACACCTTTCTTAGTCAGAATATATCATCTCTATGTTACCTGGCACCCAGCTGGTGCTGCTTTTTTCTGAAGTCACAAAGACAACAGCTTTTCATGCAGTTACATTCTTTTCATGCAGTTAGTTATTTTCTTTTTACTTTTTTAAATCAAAACATATTTTATGAGCCAATTAGTGACTAAACTACCCAGGCTTTTCCCACTGATAGCCTTGAAACAGCAAGAGTGTGTATATACACTTACTAAGTTGAACAGATGTAACTCACATAAAAGCAAAGTTAAGATGAAGAATAACAAAACCACAGCCGGTTGTATCTCCCCAGTGCAAGCCATGCAGGCTATGAGCCAAAAGCAAAGTGCAGCTCGTGCTAACTTTAAAGGAGATTCCTCTGTCTGTCAGTAAATGTACAGTTACCTTTACATATATAAATATATATATATATATATGTATAAATATATCTTATGCAAACAGAGTTTGTCTGCACTGTACAGTTTGTGTCCAATCCATTGTATACACAATGAAAACAAAGATATTGAATAAAGGATTTATAGAAAGGAAGCGTGACTGGGCTGATTCATTGATTGATTTTAAATGCTTTGATTGATTTCTCACATTTCAGTCCACTGTGTTTACATTCATTTATAAAAGCCCCTTAATACTGGGGAGGGATCGATACACCACCACTGCGATATTTTTTTAGAATGGCAATGTTGTATGAATACTTGGGACACCAATTATCTGTATTTTTATTTAATAAATTAAAATACTACAAACAAGAGGGCTCCACCATCCTCAGGTAACGTAAACCATCAAACGCTGGAAACACTTAGCTTGACAAAGCAGTCTGCTAATTCAGCACAGAAGTATAAACAGGACAGCAATCTCTACAAAAAGTAAACAAATAAATAAACCAGTGGTCATTGTAATTATATACATACAACCAATTGCAACTCATTTGGACTACATGGTTGCCTGGAGCTTGAGGCGATTGCACAGGTCGCCTAAAATGAGGCAACCTTTCTGCAACCAGTTGCAGTCTGACTTGGGCTGACTGCAATCGCTCGCAAAGAGTTTTTCAAATGTCTATTTTATAAATGCAGACAGATTGCCAACATGTTGCCATCAGTCTGAATGAATCCTTGTCTATGAACACAACTCGAGGGCACTCGACTCAACTGTTTGTATTCTGGCTATGGTCATGTGAAATAGGAAGGTTGCTGAGTGCAAATGTAATAGTTAAATGTGAATTTCTGTGTGTGGAGACAACAACAGATATGAGTTTTGAGTTAATTGCTGAATTATCAGAAACAGATTGCATGTAATTGCCAACTTGACACATTCAATCACAGACTGACTGTGTTATGGCAACATTTACAGCAGGTTTTACTAACAGTCTCATTTTTCAGCCAAAAAATAAGTGAAGTGAGATAACATTCTTATTGGATAAAACAGATATTGGTGAAGTTTACCTTTGAGGACATTTTTTTGTAGGATATTGAAAAAAAATTTAAAATTGCAGTAATATTTTATTGTGACTGTCTGATGATTCCCACCTTCATCTAGAAGAAGGTGAAAATACAAAAGCCTGTTTTACATCATGTCTGAACTAAAATTCTCCTGCAAAACTGCCTGTTTCACTGTTTTTTAAATTATAAACGCTTGGTCTCTGGTGCTCAGCCTGATGCAAATGCTTCAGATGCAATGCTTTCAGACCAGAAAACACTGGCTCATTCAAAATACATCAATTCGGAGGTGTGGGACCGGCCTAGACGTCAGTATGTGTGAATACTTTTGACTCATCATCATGAAAGTAAGATGTGGAGATCGCAGAACACCTGCTGCCACCTCAATTCTGTTGTTGTTCCCCGAATTTCATTAAGCTGTGATCAGTAAATGTCAGAAGAAGCGGTTTTTCTCCTTTACGCAAACCAGTCTCGTATTTTTTTTGAGAAAAAAGGAAAACGAGACAAAAAGAACGTCTAGCACGAGAATTTGAATTTGCTACAAACCTATAATTAATTAAATGACCTCAAACAAATAAACCCAGAGCCTTGGGGGCTACTTGCTTCCTGGCTGCCAGATCAGCCTTGGAGACAGATACACACACACACACACACACACACACACACACACACACACACACACACACACACACACACACACACACACAGAATTACCATCACTCAGTTCTCAGTTTCTACAATGCAGACTTTAATGGAAGTACCACTGAAGTGCTCCACTGTCAGACAGATAGCTGGAAAGACAGATAGACACAGACAGATACTGCAGGTTGACAGATATAACACACACACACACACACACACACACACACACACACACACACACACACACACACACACACACACACACACACACACACACACACACACACACACACGTTGCATCACCTGCCTCCTCTAAATAGCAGATGAACAAGCAAATACTGCAATTACAGTTTTTTACAGACGCTAGGACACATTTCTCAATACTTAGGTCACGTTTGCAAAACTCCTCACACAGTGAGCACAACAGAAGTCTATGTGGGCTAAACTGAGGATCAGTTATCATTGTTTTGGCACAAAATGCATTCAATGACTACATCTCTCAAATTTCATGAATTATCTTCTCACTCAGACACAACAACTGCCAAAAATCTTTGTACGGACAGGACATTTTGCATGTGCTTACATACTTTTTTCAAAACTGTTAAACTTATGGCCAAAACGATAACACAATGCAAAACTTGAAAAGACAGCAAAATCCAACGGCAATATTTTATTGAAACATATTTTAAATCTAAAAATGCAGTTTAACCAGCCACA